TTTAATCTTGTGTTTCTTGCAGTCATAAGGAGCAAATAGATCTAGAGATTGGCGCAATTTGGCTTGGGGGGGGGGGTACAAAAGCGAAGCTTAAACACGCCACCTTGTTGAGACCTGTAAAGTCCTGTAACCTTAAGGGCTCACTTGTACTATTCTTCGCAAGAGCTCACAGGTTTTAACCAAATGATACCTGTCGTTAGCATGAATTACCAGGAGAAATTTTCGAAAAAGTAAAATGTAGCCCCACCCAGGCCGAACAGCAAATAATTTTTATTTAGTCAACTTATATTATATTTTCAGTGATTTACTTTATTGGATTTCAGCTGTCTGGATCAAATACGAACACTATCACCGATTCTTATATGTTCTATGAAGATATTCATCCAGATCGGTCAAGATCAACAACGTGGTCAATCGGAAGCTGCTGAAAATCGGTATTTTTTTTCGAGGCTCGAAACTAGTTTCAGGACCTATTGACTCTACTTGTTGTTTAATATTGATTACAAATTGAGAATTAATTTGGCAATTAAATATCAGGGTTTCTCAAAGGAAGCCTAGGAAGTTTGGGGAATTCTCGCCAGCCTCACAAGAAAATTTTGGCAAAGGAGAGGATAGAAAGGCCTTTAAAGGTTTTTTGATTTCCTCCAGGAGTCATATTAACAAGCACTTCCTGTCGCTGGAAAACATTTCTGCCCTCCACCCGAAGTTCTTCCTCTGGTACGACCCCCCCCCTCTACCCTTCCCATGCTACCTGCCATCTTTCTTCGTATTTTCAACCCAACTATCTACCACCTTTTTCTCGCTTCTCTGAAGAATTGTTCTGGTTTTCCTCCCAGAAATGCTGTCGAGCAGCAAGGAGAGGGAAGCAACTAACTACTCCACTTCTTCTAACTTCCTGCTCGACAATAACCTCCCACCGACCATATAGGACTTCCGCTGGGGATTTTCCCCATGCCCTGCTTTTGTACGACATGCCCTGCTCATAAAAGAAACAGCAATAGGGAAAGCTCACAACAAAGGTAATGCCAGTAATGCCAAGCGCCAGATAGATGATGATGCGCCATGTATTCAGCTCCTGAAATGAATTGTTCGGATACGCTTTCCACCCCCATGTTCGCAGTCCTAATCGATGCCCAGATAACTTCGGTGTTATTGGCCGGGCAACGTTAGTGGCTCAGCTGAGCATGGGATTCCAGTGGGAATCCGGTGGTGATGCATTTTGCCGATATTACACTGCCCCGTCATGTCTGGAGCAGCCATGACGGTGGAAATCACTAGTCAAGAAACGCATTACGTTACTATGGGGAGCGGAAATTCCTCGCTGGGGCGATTTCTGGCCCACACACAGCCTACCTCTCCCAGTTGGTGTACAGGCTAGAAACACAATAGTAAGTGATGCCCTGCCTCTCTAGTATTGACGGTTTGCTGCGTAGGGCCCTTGCAGTTGAGTAAACCGCGGCAAGCAACGGCGCTAACAAGCTTGTACGGCGCACTAGGTGGACAGATTTGCAGAACTAGCATTGGAAGGTGAAGACTACCCCTTTCTGTGGTGTGAAGATAA